AGCATCAGCACCAGCAGCAATTGCATTCCGGCGTCAATGTTCCGGCGAAAGGGCATTTCACACTTCACCATCCTTCGTCGCAATTCTCTCCTTCGCATTCCCAGCAACAATTTCCTCCACATTTCACTCTCCAGCCTCCTTACCACTCTTATGACCTCAATTTCCGGCAGCCATATCCGCCGTACATGCCGCAACATCAGCTTCAGTCTCCGCGAGGATCTTCTGTGCTGCTTCCACATGGCCCTAATGCTGCTCTCTCTGTTAATCAATCCCCCAAAGAAAGGTTCGTTATTGGGTTTTTAGGGTTTCCAGGGTCGATTTCGGTAAATTGAAGTCTCCGTTTGCAGTAATTAGGGGTTTTGCTACTTTCATGGCGAACATGTTTTTCCATTTTAGGAATGTCTAAATCTGGGTTTTTAGGTCTAGATGATGCCCAAGTTTATCCAGTGGTATTTTTAGCACATTGATACGCACTCTGTTCTATAATTGTTGTTATTTCTTTCAACTGTATCAAAATTTGGAATCTTCTTACAAAATTCTGTCACTTTTGAGCAGTTTTATCCAAACAGTGTAAATCTTATGACTTGTGTTTGTCAACTTTTCCCAATGTTCTCCAATGCAGTGCTCCAGCTAAAAGAAAGGGTGGGCCTGGAGGATTAAACAAAGTCTGTAGGGTTTCTCCTGAGCTTCAAGTCGTTGTTGGTGAACCTGCCCTTCCAAGAACTGAGGTTATCACTTTCTTCCATTCACACAATGTTTTTTTCAGATGTGTAGAAGCAATGGGGTTGTTGTAAAAGTGTTGCTGTATTTTGCTTTTGGTCTTAGATTGTGAAGCAATTGTGGGCTTACATAAGGAAGAACAACCTCCAAGATCCGAGTAACAAGCGGAAGATCATATGCGATGATGCGTTACGTGTGGTCTTTGAGACAGATTGTACTGATATGTTCAAAATGAATAAGTTGCTTGCTAAGCATATTCTCCCGCTTGATCCATCAAGTAATGGTTCATGTAAATCGTTTTTGCTCAACTCCATATGTTCTTTGGCATGTTCAATGTTACTGACTGTTTAAAATCATTTTTTTGCAGAGGACTCTGGTCAAGCGAAACGGGCAAAAG